TGTGTGTGTGTGTGTGTGTGTGTGTGTGTGTGTGTGTGTGTGTTTCTGTTCTCTTAACTACCACATTGTTTAGCAACGGTTCAAAGTTTCAGTGGAGCTGAAATAGTAACTTTGAAGACTGATCCTCACATTTATGACCATTGCAACATCTCCGTGGTCAGGTTATTGACATTCAGGTGCTTTACAATCATTGCTTGCAATAGGTTCACAGTTGGGACACTTGCAGAGTTTTGTGGCCATCATGTGATCATCATTTGCAACTTTCCCTGCTTGCTTTCCACAAAGTTGATGGGGAAGCCGGCAGGAGGTCACAAGTTGTTCCTGTCACTCCCCCTCCACACACACACACACACACACACACACACACACACACACACACAGAGAGAGAGAGAGAGAGAGAGAGACAGAGAGAGAGAGCAACTGCAGCCCTGAGGCATCTACCCAACTGCCCAATTTGTGTAACATTCACCTGCAAATCCTTCAGATATTTTGTCAGTTATATGGCATAATCTATGTACAAAAGTAACCTACATCATATCCAGAGGTGGTGTTCAGCAGGTTCTGACCAGTTCTGGAGAACCGGTAGCAGAAATTTTGAGTAGTTCGGAGAACTGGCAAATACCACCTCTGACTGGCCCCGCCCCCATCTATTGTCTGCTTCCCGAGTCACAGCTGATTGGCTGGGTCTTCTTTGGTTCCCCTGCACAGGAGAACAGAGCTGGAAAGCAGGTTAGTGGGGTGGGAAGGGAATGGAGATTTTACAGTATCCTTCCCCTGCCATGCCCACCAAGCCACCCCCACCAAGCCACACCACACCACACCCACAGAACCGGTAGTAAAAAAATAATAATCTCACAACTGATCATGTCCCCAACCAATACATAATATTACCATAAGCATTCCTTATACATTTTCCCATTAAAAAGGCTTAAGTTTACAAAGACACCTAATGTCTTACTCCATGTGAAATGTTACATACTCCATTTATCCTCACGTATGCTTTAGGTCCATTCTATTCTGCTCTTAATGCAATCAGCAATCCATCTTCATATTATTACAAAACATTTGAAAATTCAAGCCTGTTCTTCAGTTTATGATACATTTTTTGTAAATCAAAAAGTGTATAATAAACTTTTCCCTACACTTTGTTGCTGAAGAGCAAAACTCTTGTCTAAGCCCTATCCCTCACAGAATCATGTTGCGCCTTCAAAGTTTGCCCATTCTCTTTTTGCCAAACATTTTCCTGGACATACTTAACAAACTTACCCCTTACAGTTTTCTACATTTAATCTTTCTACATTTTAGATACATAATAACACAATTCTTTCAATAGGCACCCCTTAAATTATTTTTCAATTCACTTTCCTGGGGATTTCTTATTTAGCACTCTTCATCTACTTCCAAAACATTTTTTATTTCCATCAGAATCACTCTTCATAGCATTTCTTTTCAGCCTCTTAATCTCACTCATCCCTTAATGGTTTCCTTGCAATTATCTTTTTTTCTATATACACATTATATCTTTGATTGTTATTTTCAGCAGTAGTCATTCTCCTTTGTGCATTTTTTCTCACCTGTAGCATCTTTCACTTCATTCTATCAAGCTTCCCATGTCATGGTTCCCATTACTGTAATTCCAGTAATTTTGTTTTTATTTATTTACAAGACTTATATGATGCCTATCTCATACCAAATGACTCTAGGCAGCTCACTACATCCATAAAACATAGTTAAAAGCAAAAGTCCCCTCTCCAGACACCAGACCAAACATCCATACAGCTCAACACCCATCCTAGCCCAGTGCTTCTTCACAGTTCAAAGCCCACAGAAGTCTAAACTATATTCAGCATTAATATTCTTGTCACAACACTTGAATTTTATATCGCACTTCTTTCTTCATCACTTTCCAGATATATCAGATCTAAAAAGTCCATTAAACTATATGTGTAAAACATGCTAATGGAAATCGATGAAAAGGTATTAAGAATCTACTCACAGAAAAAAAGACTTGTACAAATAAATACACACTGATCATTACAAAGGCCATCCCAATATTTTGAAATCCATTAACAAAGTATTATACAAGCGCAAATAATGAAAGTCTTAGAATAGGTTTCCGAATAAACAAGACAGGGTTAATTGGGATGTCATATTATTTGTCTTGGTATAATAAAATATTCTGTTTGAATATACACATGTTAAGGTCTTTTCTAGTTTGGGTGATTCCTAATGAATCTCCATATTATTTCTAGTCATTTTGGACTGGCATTAAAATTTACCAAAGTAATGTCAAAATTATTTAGTAATTTATATTTGCAGATATGTCTGCAAAGTCACTATTCCAACCTGGTTTTATTTACCCAGGGGTGCAATGGAGTACGTTAGATTCCAAAAGGGAAAAATAGGTGACCTACATATTGATTGATTCTGGACATCTGGTGGCTACTATGGGGGGGAGGGGGAATCTTATTAAAATATTCACTTGTTGGCAGAAGGATTGGTTCAAATTCGTGTCTGATGTGCTAGTGAAGCACTTCAGCAGAGAGATTTTAAAATATTCTTGTTTTTGTTCAAAAGAAAATTTAATATTATTAAAAATAATATTTCCAAGTGTTTGACTGCCATTTTTAAATGTACCGCTGGAGGG